CCGGACGGCGCGTGTGGGCGGCGTGCTGAGTGCTGGGTGCGCGTGTTGCAGGTGGAGCGCGCGCGCCGGCCGCGCCCCTCCCGCGGCGGCTGCGCCAGCGCCGCACAGCGCGCGCGCCGCGCCTGCCACAGTCGGTGCGCCGCCGGCTACCCAAACAGACGTGCGCGCCGTCGCTCGCTCCGCAACTGAGTTCCGCGCGCCCGCGCTCTCGATATGAGCTCCGGCAAGAGGAAGCTCTCGTTCCTGGGCTTCGCCCCGCAGGTGAGTGCTTCACTTGTAATATACTGTGTCCTTGCCGCCGGCCTGCCTGCACCGCTCGTTGCTGGTTCGTGAATAGTTGCATGTTGCACATTACAGCAACAAGCGGAAATTTAATAACAAAGTACGTTTGTGACGTCAGATGACAAAAATGTGCTCTATCGCGTACGGAGTGTCCGACCTAGACACTAGACTGGCTTACGATATGTTATATATAATGAATATGTTGTCCGAGTAGCAGTCACATACCGCTGCGCGCTGAGCTTTAAGGCGCGCGTACACTGGTCAGTCGAGTGCACGAGTGCCGCAGTGAGCCGTGCTGTGGTCGGAGCCAAGCACGGCTCGGCACACGATGCCACGACGCTCGCTTTGGTGGGATTTGCTGATGCACTAAAATAATGTATGTTTTATTATTTGTAGCCATATTAAAAGTGGTCGTTAATGGAGACAACAATCACAATGTATTATCACCATAAACGGAAGTATACGCTACCGCTATATCAATGAAATGTTGTATGACGGCTGCGTAGTTTTGCGTGAAACTTATATTTTTGTATATCGTGCAAGGCCACTGCATACGCATGTAGCGAGCGACTGCGGCCGTGCCGTGTCGCACCTTGCCGCGCCGTGTCGCGCGTCTCACTGCTGGCTCGCATTGTGTTTACCCTCACCAAGAGGTGCTTCTGGCGAATCCTTTCGCTGACCTCGTCAGTTGCTCACTTATCTGAATTGAAGAGATTGCATTGGTTAGGCCACAGATGTTAGTTGAGGCACAACTTTGTCGCGTGTGTAACTAGGATGCTAGAACGCTATAATATAAGTTGGACGGTTTATTTATTTAATAGCGAATGTGATTGCAATGGTGTGCGTGGCAGCGCAGCGCAGCGACTTGAATTCGACTTGAGTTTGTTTAGGTGCAGCGAGATGTGGCGCGCCATTGAGCTCCGCGAGCCGCGCCGGGCGCCGCGTTAGTTCCGCTCGGTGGCTGCAGCCGCTCAGGCGATCCCATCGATAGTCGATACCTTTTTATTTGTACTTGTTAATGAACAAATATGCTCACATTTATAATTTGAAGTAATTACAGTTGCAGATACTAACTTACATGTTCACTTTAGCATTACACTTCCAAACTCTTTGATGTAGTATGTGTGGCAGTAGTCAGGTGGTGTAGCGGGGGGAGGGCCCCTGCATAGGGGGCGGCGTCCTTGCCTCCGTGGGGCCGCGACTACTTAAAGCCATTTAACTGCAAATTACATCGACACTATAGACATGACCGTTAGTATTGGCACTCGCTTATTGATCACTGGCGTAAGCGCAATAGTCAACAAGTAAGCCAACGCAGACACACCCTGTAGGTACACTGTGGAGCAGTTGTTACAATTATAGATATTGTTATACTAGCGTCACCCGCAGGCCGCAGGCGCAGGCGCAGGCGCAGGCACGCCAGTGGGATACAAACGACTCTATGTGTAACTTACTCCAGACCATAATCTACTTATGTTCCGAATTCCATCTCGATTCCTTCAGCCGTTTTGACATGACTGAGTAACAAACAAACACAAACGGTCTCATTTATAATATTAGTACGATTAGATATTGTACATTAGGAAGCTGTTCTGTACTCATGTCGAGAGCCCTAAACGAAGTTTTGCGACCATTGCGGTCTCCTCGGTGCGGGGACGGGGAGTGCTGGTTGCGTGCGCCATGCAGCTACACTTTGTGATGTTTGCGAAAAGCATCACTTGCAGACATATTGAAAAAGTGTAAATTCTAATAATAGCTTGTTACATGTGCCAAACTGCCAACACGGATACAAGACAAACGCAATGACATAAGTAGCCGCGTTCTGCCGACGCCGAGTGCTACGAGTACGTGCGAAGTGCGAAGGCCGCGCACCGCTCTCACTGGTAACGAGTGTCCAGATTTGATTCAGAACATTATCTGCGTACCCATGCCGTGATAATATAATATACGAGTCAGTTATTTTCCATAGCGAATAATAACGTAATTAGCTGATACCGGGAGCTCGGCAGATTAGATAGATATATAGATATGCGAGTGGCGGTAGGGCTCGTCGCCCGGCCGGCACGCGGCGTAGCTCGCTCCCGGCCCACGTCGGGAGCTCCGTAGCGGGCGTAGCACGCTCCCGCTACGCGCTACGCGGGCAGCCAGCGGGCAGCGGAGCCGCGCGCACGTGGAGGTCGCGGCACTCGCGGACTCGCGGGCTCGCGGCCGCTTTATTATTATTAGCAACGCGCCGCACTCTGTTACTTACGACCAGGTGTCGAGTCGAGCGACGCGACGACTCTAAGGTCACTTTTTTCTGTAATCATTAGTCGATTATGTGTTTTTGTAAGGCATCCATAATCTGGTAAGGTTATTATCGGTGGCCGGTGATCGTGGTGCCGCGGCTGGCGGAGAGGGGAGAGGGGGAGGGGGGGGGGTAGTATCTCTTCTCATCTTCTCGAGGTGCTCACCGAAATATGACCTGATGTAGCTGCTGGCCACTAGTATGCTTAGGAGATGTCCTGGCGATGGTGGCGATGTATATATAACAACATCCTATCCCTTCGGTTACTCTGCTCTCTGAGTGGAGGCAGCAGACAGCCACGGGGGCTGGTGGCCGTGGCGCTCACTGCGCTCTGATTGCGATAAGCGCTCCGGATCACGGAAACGTACCGACACACTTAACTCAGGGACGCTGTTATCTGCGCCTCGCTACCTGCGCCTGCGATACCGTACATTTTCTTTACGCCTGATACGGAATAGCGTTATTTTACGCGAATTTTATCGGCTCGTAATCGGCTCAGGATAAGATACATCATATCTCGCTGAGACATGCACCTCACGTGGCGACCGTCCATCGTGTGGGGACCGCACCTATGTCTGTTCCAAGTTCTGGCGCCACGTCGCGCACTCTCTCTGAATCAAGTAATTAGTAGGCACGTACCTACTCCACATGCGACTCGTTAAATTGAACACAAATATTTTACGAGATTGAAGAAACAGGTAATGAGTAATGACGCAATAGGCAGGTCGTTCGATCCATCAATCTAACACGAGAGCCTGGGCACGTGTCGGCGGCACACGTACGCACCGCGCAGGCGCACGCCGCGCGCTCTCCGACTGATGAAGCGCTTCCACTTATTATTATTTAATTCGAATGCGTTGCAAATCGATGTGATTGTGATGACTCACATCTCGCCAAGTAGCGGCGCTCGCACACGTCGCGGTACTCACTCCTAGCTAATGCTTGTTATGCACTCTATTTACTGCTCTTTAGCAAGAGGAAACCAGCCCTCTTTATAATATGTACAACTTCCTTAATTTGCCGATAAAGTAGGCTGTATAGTTGTTTTTTTAAACTTTCCCCCACTCTAGGATTTCCTCCTGTGTCGTGGGTGCGTTTAGAAACGAACAAGTTCACATACACCTGACACTTCCTTATTTCTTACTGGCCGCGGCAACTTTAAAAGCAAATTGTTCTCATTTCAACTTGTTGATTCTCCATGGTGCCAATGTTCGACAGCAGAGTTGCAATACGAGCAGTCGGCCCATCACATACTCTGGGAGTGTGATCTCTGGCAATAGGAACGTAACACTATGTTAAATAATTTAATTGTTTCGTCAGGTGTAGCTACTATACGGACCTTGTGGAATCTAGAACAAATTTCCGTGCGTTTTGGCGCTTTTGCCATACCTATTATTGTATGTAGCAAGTATAACACCTTACACATAGGACCCACTTAGTTTTTTTAGTCAATTTTTCGTGGTGCTTAGCGACTGGGCTTCACCCAGTTGTACAGTTTCTCTTTTGAGTCTTTAGGCTTAATTCATTCTGTCTCCTGCAGTAATTCATCGAGGGAAGTGGAAACTATCGTTTTTATTTCTTCTCCTCTTATAATATCTTCTGATTCAATTCGTTGCGGGAACCAAGACTGTCCATGTCCCTGGAACGCACTGGACTTCAGTGTTCCGGGGGGATTGTCCCATTAAAAAAAAATACACATGACACCCAGACCCGGCTCAACAATCTGTGGATGACACAAAGAGTTTTTCCGTGTGGGAATCGAACCCGCGACTCGTTGCGCGGCGCTAGCCACCGCGCCAACCGTGCAGTCAAGTCATTTGTTTGTTTTTTTATTGATGAGCACGGACACGTCATAGACTGTTGTAGAGGCAATTCTTCCATTTGTAGCTACTGACAGGTAGTCACTAGTCACGACCTAAGAACTATGTAGGGAGTACCTGTACACGACGACACACTACTACACTGCTCATTATCATTATAAGGACTGCTGCTCGTAGACATCTGTAATCGTGTAATCGTGTAGTGCATGTGCAATTGTGCACTCAATCGTCGAATCTTGTAAAATCCTCAAATTCCTAATAGGCCGGCAAGGCGGCAGCACACTTGGAGCGCCTCTGATACTTCAGGTATCGGTCAGGTGATCCGTCAGCTCGTTTACCGGCTTATTACGTAATAAAAGGAATAACCGGACACTCGGCTTCTCAATATGGAAATACTTTAAAATCAAACAGCCATCAATGCACTTAAAATCTTTATTAATTCATTAAATCAATATAGAACGAAGTATATACGAAATTACGAAGTTTCCACCTTCCCCTGTGAAACTGGATCTATTGCAGATACACGGCCTGTGTATGGCAGATCCGTGGGTTTGCACTATACCGACGATATGTTCGTATGTAGATGTACCTATATCCCGCAACTGTCCCGTTCCACAACTAAAACAATGTGCAGAATATGGCGCATGGCGTCACGTAACCATTTTGACCTTCATGCATCGCTCTGTTCTCGTAAACAAATTCACATTATGACGTGTGGTGTCGGCCTCGGCCAGCATTCTCCAGCTCGGCTCTGCTCTCTCGTTGGTACCTTCTTATTCCTTTTTCTAATGACTAAGCATTACTTGCTTACATTGTACATCAAAGAGTAAAGTTTCCTTCAATAAAATATGTAGCTTGCCCCCTAAATAAAA